TCATACAGAAGCCACCCCTGTAACCCCCCCTCTGCCAAAACCTTGTCACACAGACCCGTTACATTTTGGAACAAAATGATGTTGTATCCTTTGGTCTGTTCAACAATATAATAATAATTATTGAAGTCTTTTTATTCGTTATTCTTAGAAAAACTAATAACCAGTCCTTCTATTTACTCTATACCAATGTGGCATTCTCTGCACTTTGTTGAGAACTTAACTCTTGTTTCATGAGTATTACACTGGAAGTCAATTGTGCTATGGGACTGAAAACTGCTGAGAGGTTGGGGTAGTGACACTTACATAGTAATAAAATCTTTGTTTACTCTGTCTGTGACATCTTATAATCAGTATTCAGAGCACTCAGTGCGGCAAACGAGCCTGAACGTGCGACTGGCTGGGGATGGTTTGAGGAAGAGTTGGAACCACGATGGCTTTCTCATGCCCCTGTACATGGCTTTTTTCACACTTGCATTTGTTTGTCCTCTCTGTTTTTCTCCTGCACTGACTCTGTTTCTCTGTCTGATCTGGCTGAGGTTCATATGTCTGTCTAAGTCTTGGTATAGAAAGCTGATTACTTGTTTTATTCAGTGGCATGTGGGTTTTCATTTCTTCAGATCAATTAGGCATAAGCTTTATCTTTCTTGGAATGTGAGAGGGCGATATTGTAGTTCCTGGTGTGAACATTATTTCTAATACATGATGGAGAATTACAGTGTTTGTAATACCTGCATTGCTTTGCATTACTTGCGTACTGCTGTAGTTGGTAATTGGGGGACAACGTGGTGCTGGGCTTAGACAATGGCCTGAAACAATGGAAGCACCTGCTGGCTCCAGGGTATTTCTGTTATTATTATAATATCACGCTGCTGTATTCAACACTTGCCATCAGTATAGTTAACATGGACTAGCGTTTGCAGATACACTGAATTCATTATTTATGCACATATACGTGTAAAATGTGCTGAGGCTCTCCCATAAGTTGCCTGGGGTTGATATGTGTTGGAGAGCTCTGAAGATTGCTCTCGGTGGTGGTGCTAATGAATAGTGAAAATCATAGCCAAATTAATGAACTTGGTCTGTAGTACGCTTCCAATTCTGCTGAATCTTGGGGAAAAGTTACTGTTACCAGGAGGGATGAAACTCAGCACACAACGTGCAAAAATTAGGGGCGGGGGGGGGAACCCCCTGTACAATGAGGGGATCAGGGTTGGGGCAATGCAATTGGGTGACAAATAGAAAAGTGAGTAGCCCAAAGGAAAACTGCAGGGTTTGCCATTGTATCCACTGTGGAGAGAAGGGGGTCCTTAGTCTTCCCTGGAACAATATATGGCTCTTTAGGCCTTTAGTGATTAAGGCAACTATTTGTAGACAGCTGCAAGGCAAGATAATTGGCACAGAGCCTAGTGTATAGCAATTAATGTAAATTAGGAGGTAGGAGCTGTAGAAAACTAGTAAAGCAAAAGACAGAAAGAAATCTATAGTCTGAATGGATAAGCCCAACGTGTTCTTAGTATATTACCGTTCTTTCAACTCATAGCAGCAGTATTCCTCCATTACTACTCGAAAATAACTTAAAAATAATATCTTGTTCTAGTTCCTTGTCGTTCCTGATTTTGTATATTGCTAACTAATGAGTTGAAACCGAATACCATGTTTTTCAAGTTAAGTGAATCTAATTCCTGGTTAGGAAAGCACACTTATGTGGTGCTCTGTTTTCAAAGTATATTAATCAGAAATACACAACACAAATGCAAGTCACTTAACAGAACAAAAAAAAAGGATTGAAACCAGAAGCACATTGGTGGGTGTGCTGGTGGCTTGAAGGAATTACCACATTTTTAAGCAATTAAAAAAAAATAAATCTCATTTACTTTCATTTAGTCTTTGGTGTTTCCTTTGATGTTACTTTTCACGGGTAGGAAGGAATCTATTTAAATGGCAATATGAGAACTTAGGTTTGATGCCTTCCTCTCAGCTTGTTTAAACATAGGATAATCTCTTATCACTTTCAAAGATATCTCGAGTTTATTGACACTAATCCTCAATCAGAAGGATTGTCAAGTCAGTATGTTCGTTACAAGAAACGAATGACAAAACAGTGGGTGTAAGTAACACAAGTGAACATGAGAGTCTAAACGCAGATTACTGAGGCAAGTAAAAGGTTATTAGTGGAATGTAAATCATATTCTGTACTGGTGATCTGATCAACTCTTCACAAATGTGCCTACAGCTGGTCTACTTAACTAATTCAAGCTGGCAAAACCCACCATGGTTACTTTCTCCCTTGGTAACATTGAATAAAGTTTGTGTTCTGTTCTTTCTGCTAGCCCCACACCTGCCACTTTAAAACTGAAGTAATGGTAGATCTTGGCTACTGTTGGGCCCACGTTACTGTTCTGGCACAAAGCAGACCACGCAGACTCGATCTGTGTGGACTAGGTTTTTTTTGGTACTGAAATTCTGTATATTTGATTTTGCCAGCCTGAATATATTTATGAAGCAGTGCAAGTGTTTTTCATCATACCTAGAATGAATTCTACCATTTCTTCTTGAGGTCTGAGTGTTCAATTAATGAAAAAAAAAAAAGTTTCTCCTTTTTCAGTACTTAGGAAGGTCTAAAGATTCTTTTAGACTTGTAAAGAATTGTTTATTGCATTTCTTTAACAAAAAAGCCCCAACACGGCTAAGAATATATAATAATAGGAATTAATAATATGAATGGATTTTCATTCAATTTTGAGTAAAATTTACCATGTCATTAGTCACTTCTGAAGAATGTAAACGTGATCAATTTATTTCGGATACGTTATTTGACAAACTTTTTTTAATTAAAAAAGCACAACAATTTAAATGGATGCTAAAATATTTGTTGTTACATGAGAAAATTTTTAATTTTAGAAACAATCAGAATATATTTTTTCATATTTACTAGTATATTTAGTGTTTTCCCTGTATTTTCTATTGTTTTCATCTATATGTTTTTTTGATGTGTATATACAGTTTTTCACATGTTGGTCTGCATTAATTCGTTCTTTTATCTTGTAGGACTATTTTGAAAGAGAGTGGTTTTGCAAGATATCTACATTCAGCTGTCTTAATTAATGGAGCTATGCTCATTTTTGGTGGAAACACTCATAATGATACTTCCCTGAGTAATGGTGCAAAGTGTTTTTCTGCCGACTTCCTTGCATATGATATAGGTATGTATTGTATTTTTCTCGTTTGAGTTTTAAATACCACAGTTGCTTTCTCAAGTTGGGCTAACGTGATTCTTTAATGTCTTGATCCTGAACACTTTCAAGTTATTTATAAATTATATTGTAAAATAGAAAACAGGCTTTTGTTCCATAATAGTCTGAAGTATTTGGCCTGTGGGACAAAACATAGGCTAAAATGATCAAATTTTAAAAACGTGCCTAATACTGTCTTATAATATGAATAACAGATAAGTTGCTAAATGAATTGTAAGAGTTGGTGTATTTTGGTGTTATGAAAGTGTGTTGAACAAAGACTGTAGTGGTTGTTACCTCAAAGTGTTGATTTATTTTTCATACTGAATATCATGTAGTACTAATAAAATATGATGCTGGAATGAAAAACAAAACAAAACAAATCCCACAAAAACAAACCCCAAACTGAAACCATAACATTTCCCTACAAGCAACACTTAAGAGATTCCTAAAGGGTTTGGAATTGGTGGCACTTTGGAAAATTGCTCAGTGCATGTATCAAGGCACAATGATGGGTCTGAACTGAAAATCAGGGAGTAGAGAAGCCAAGGTAGGCAGCAGTCTGAAAGACAAGGCGGGGGTGGTAAGGTGGTGATGCTCAGGAAACTTAAGAAAGGTGGAGCTTCCACAAGCTGAAGAGCAATCTGGAAACATAGGAAGTCCACACCACAAGAAGCAGATGTAGAGAAACAGCCCCTGGGAGACAGATTGTGGTAGATAGCTGGTTGTGGCTTGGCTGACAGCTGAGATGCATGGATTTTGCGGGATAGCTTCCTCTGACAAGCTGCCCTCCCCCCTCCTGCCTCTTCCTGTGCATTTCAGATCAGAATATTAATTAAAAGATTCCTGCCTTTGAGACTGAAATACGTTACTTGATCAGGGTAACTGCCTCGGTATATGTTTCACATGGAGCAATACCTCACGCACAGTCTAGCAGGAGCAGTCTTGCTGAGTGGGAGGACAATTCTGGAGGATACTCCCATTAGTCTATACAAGGGATAGCTACATTAAATGAATCAGAGCGATAATAGACTATGGAATACTTTTGCATCATTATGTTAAGGATAAACTGCGTTTCCATGGACAACAGCACAATGAAAATGGCTAAGCTATTTATGCTTAGTTTCATGAAACAGAAGATAGTTTTAGGAGGATGGTGGTAAAAGAAGTCTACTTCTGAAGCACCAAAGCCTGCTAGTATGCAGCACAAACATCAAAATACAGAATTCATTCCCAGTTATCCGCGTTAAAAAGTAGAAGCTAATAGTAACAAAAGAATCCCACAGAACTTTGCTGACAGCTGGTTGGGAGGAGGCTGAAGGGAGAATGAGATGATTGGAAATGACAGTTGACATGAGATAATGTTTAGTGGAACAAGGTGCAAGTCATACACTTGGGAAATGATAAGAATTTTCTCCTGCAAAGTGAAAGAAATGACAGTGGCTTGTATGTCTGAGTCAGGAGTGGCACGTGGCTGGGGAAGTGGCCTGTGCAGTCCTAATGAAAAGGATATGGAAGCATCGATGCCCTTCTCAAGGCCCTGAGTATTTTTGTAAGATTTTGGCAATGCACATTTAAGACAGACAGACTCAAACAGGGCTCTGCATGGCAAGTGGTATTAATGCTGATGGAAGCATGAGGAGTGTTTAGGAGACAATAAAAGGATGTGATATATTTAATTTTGCAAGAGAGTGGCTGAGAGCAGAAAAGATTGTTGTTTATAAATGTATGATAAGAATACACTTTGGAGGAAAACTGTTTAAGGTAAAAGACAGTCTTGAGACAAGGCTAGTTGGGTGTAAGCTTTCAGTCTGTAGGATGGTTTCAACCTTTTGAGCTGCACGGTTATGGAAAAACCTCCCTATAGAATTGTGGAGACTGTAAATCTACGGGAATTTAATGAGTCTATAATCTGTCTTGTTTATTGCCACTGCTGCTCTTACCATAAATAGTTTTTCCCTTCCCTAATGTTCATGTCCATGTTTTATGCATAGGCTGCAAATATAAACACACAGATCATATTTGGGCCAAAAAGCACAGCTGGTTGTCCTGGGAGCTAACGATTGGGAAATGTGTCAGAGCGGTCTGGGAAATGGACTTGTGCATGATCCTGTGGACAGTGGCTGGATCTATTTTTGGCAAGCGTTTATCAGCTGACTACAGTGATGGAAGGGAGTGAGGCATGATTCTTTTTATAGGGCTAGTAGATGGCTCTTGATGGCTTTCTGTATAGATATCAATGCAATGTGTTTGCTTTCATACAAAAATGATGAGTAAATTAAGTACATGGAACACACTTGTGTTATTTCCTGCCAGATTCACCAAGTGTGTGAATGATGCCTTTTCAGAACAGCAGAATTTTTTTTGACTGTATCCCTGTATTACATATTCTGGAGCATCTTGTAGGCATCTGATAGTGTGAGCTATTGATTTTGTTCTCACTTCAGTTAACATCTCGTTTTAATTTTTAATGAAACGGAGCTTCCTCCGCATTTTAGAGGGTAATATTACTTATTGGTCTACATTTATTTGTAGAATGTGCACATCAGAATAAATGGTATGAGTTCCAGGATCTAAATAAGTGTAACTTTGTTTCACACACCAAGAGGTTTTTTTTTATCCTACTTCATGAAAATGTTGTATGCTGTTTGTTCATTTTTTTTTATAAGGTGGAACAATATTTTGTTCTTTTTCTGGTTGATTACAATATTTAATATGGTATTCATGTTTTCTTGCAAGTCACATTCTCCATGTGTTATCAAACTGATGAAGTACAAAAGAAACAGATGAAGTAATTACTCTTTAAAAATTTTTTAAAAAATCGATGAAGATTGATTTGATTCAGACTTAATCTGCTCTGTTAATCATTTCAGCAAATTAAAAAGACAATCTCACAGCACACATTAAAGACATACTTTTTCAGAAAACATCAAATACTTATTTTATTAAGAATTAAATAATTATGGAATGGGTATATTTCTTAATTTTCTTTACTTTGTATCATGAATTTTGAACAATGCTTGGGAGAAAAAATATATGATGCTGTCAGTATTGTGTTTCCTAGATACCTTGCAAATGATGGAGTGTTATGCTCTGTCTTGTAAAAAATGGATGCTGTCTGGAACCCAGCTGAATCCTGGAGATAGAGCCCATACTATTTATGTTCAAGTTGGGCTATAGAGTACACTTGATTGTATCTCTTATTGTATGTGACATAGTCTTATGGATAGATTGCTTCAGCTTTTTATTATCCATGAAAATGCTTACTGTTTTTCGTGTTAATGTGAAATAACTATTTGGGGGGATTAATCTCAGTTAAGTTTACCTGTCTAGAAGGTCGGTTTCTAATACAATCTGGTAATCCAGACTTCTCCTCTGGTCAATGGAGGGAGATCATTATCTCTCTGGAGAGATTAATTTTACCAAGCTTAGGACAGAATTGCTCTTTTTTTCTTCTTTTCTGGAATCAGTCATTGCTCTCCAGGTACTGAACTTAATCTAATAAGTTTTGGACAGTTAAATACAAGTGTCATGAACCAAGAGCTCAATTCAATCATTTTAAATGCTTACTGCAGCTGAATATATTTGTTAAAGCTGAAGACTCAGAGATCTGGAGATGTTATAAAAACTATTATGATGCCCTAATTTTCATAATTTAATATTGTTTGGTGTATTTACTTACATAGCAGTGAACATACTTACATGACGAGAAGTCTGTTACATAAAATGAGCTTTAGAAACCTGGCCTTTGGTATGCTTTTGTCCTCCTCTGATATTTTGCCACCAGGTTGCTCTGGCAGCTCCCTAATCATTCTCCTCATAGAGCTGAGGTATTTTCTGACCTTGCTGTTATTGCTTACATTATGCTGAAAGAGGAGCCTTGGCAATGGGGACAGCAACACAACTGGGCTCAGTCTTGGATGCTGTGGTTGACTTGCAGTTTTCTAACTGATGTTGGTTATGACTTTCCACAGAATCACAGAACGATAGGAGTTGGATGGACCTCTGGAGGCCATCTAGTCCAACTCCCCTGCCAAAGCAGGTTAGCCTAGAGCAGGTCGCACAGGAACGTATCTAGACAGGTTTAGAATATCTCCAGAGAAGGAGACTCCACAGCCTCCCTGGGCAGCCTGTTCCAGTGCTCTGTCACCCTCAGGGTAAAGAAGTTCCTCCTCCTGTTCAAGCAGAACCCCCTATGTTCCAGCTTGTGCCCATTGCCCCTTGTCCTGTCTCTGGGCACCACTGAAAAGAGCCTGGCCCCATCCTTTTGACACCTGCCCTTTAGATATTTCTTTATCTACTGCTCACTGGAGTGCCATAGTTACCTGTTTAGTACGTAAAAAGAAGCTAAAGGGCCTCAGCTGGTGAGATTCTGCCTGTTATGGATGTAATGTCAGCGTTCAACCTACGATGTTTATTCAGTTCTTCCATTAGAGCATTTTGAAAGATACTTGTAGCAGTTTTCTCATTTAGAAAAGGGATTTGAATAGGTCTCTATAGCAAAAATATGTATGCACAGCTTGTGAAAATCTGTGCTTTGTGACAGCTCTTTGGAAACCAGGGAGTTACATATGCAAAGGACGGTTTATATGTAGTCATCATACATAATAATGACAGTTAATACAAACTGGGATGCGTGTATTGGAAAATCTGGCTGCATACTTGTAATTAGTAGGGATTTATCTTTCAAAATAGGATATTATCTTGTTCTTCAGTCTTTGCTGTTTAATTGAGAAACTATGTATTGGGACCTGTATGTGTTCTCCCAATTCCTTAGCACTATTTTATAATATATAAAAATTGCACACCTTTGGGAGACGGAGACATGGTGGAAAGAAAATAATCACCACTGACTTTAAATTGTCAAAGTGCTTAGATCCCACAGAGATTAGTTTAAATAAATGTGTAATAGAACTAGAAAGGAGGTGTGACACGTGTCAGTATTGATGTTTTGCTTTTGTTTTATTCTT